CACAAGTTTAGAAAGGGCAAATGTTGACCCGATTTTCAAGACAGGGAAGGAAACAGAGTCTGCAGACTATAGGGCAGGGAGCTTTGTTTCATTTCCTGGGAAAATTCTTGAAAAGGTCATTAAAGAGGGGGTTGACAAATAATCTGGAAAGAAAAGTGGTTATTACAGAGAGCAAGAATAGCTTCATTTTATACAAGCAATGCTGGACTAATCTCATTTTTTTGTTTTGTTTTGTTGATTTTTTTGTTTTTTGACAGGATTACTAAACTAATGACAGGGATAGAGTTTACCTAGATCTTAGCAAAGCTTTTAATAAAGCATGCCATGCTACTCCTATGGAGAAGGTGGAGAAATCTGGATTAGATGGTAATACAATCAGATGGATTCAAAACAGGTTGGATGGCAGGTTTATAGAGTAGTAATAGCTACTCATTAACTAATGGTTAATTCAGATCCTGGAAGACAGCTGTCTTGTTCCTCTCCTCACCCAGTACCCCTAGTCTTCTTTTCTCCTGGCCAAACATACACAGTTCCTTCAATCAATCCTCATAAGTCATGAATTCATCTTACTTGTCTCCAAGGAACCTGTATGCAGGCCAAGAAGCAACAGTTAGGAGCGAATATGGAACAACTGATTGGTTTAAGATTGGAAAAGGAGTACAACAAGACTATGTATTTTCCACTTATTTATTTAACTTACATGCAGAGTACGTTTTCTGAAATGCCAGGCTAGATGAATCAAAAGCTGGAATTAAGGTTGCTGGGAGAAATGTCAACAATCTCAGATATGCAGATGATACCACTTTGATGGCAGAAAGGGAAGAAGAATTAAGAAGCCCCTTGATGAGGGTGAAAGAGAAGAGTATAAAAGCTGGTTTGAAGCTTAACATCAAAAAAACTAAGATCTTGGCAATTGGTCCCATCACTTTTTGGCAAATAGAGGGAGAAGAAATGGAAGCAGTGTCAGATTTTATATTCTTGGGCTCAAGGATCATTGCAGACAATGCCTGCAGCCATGAGATTAAAAGACGCTTGCTCCTTGGAAGAAAAACTGCGGCAAATCTGGACAGCATACTAAAAAAAAAAAAGCAGAGACGTCACCTTGCTGACTCAAGGCTATCGTTTTTCCGGTAGCAATGCATGCTGTGAGAGTTGGATTGTAAAGAAAGCTGAGTAGTATAGAATAGATGCTTTCTAATTGTGGTGCTGGAGAAGACTTTTGAGAGTCCCTTGGACAATAAGGAGGTCAAATCAGTTAATACTTAAAGAAATTAATTCAGGCTATTCATTGGAAGGTAAAATACTCAAGCTGAAGCTTAAATACATTGACCACATAATGAGAAGATAAGACTCATTGGAAAAGACCCTGATGCTGGGAAATATTGAAGGCAAAAAGGAAAAGGGGACAGCAGAAGATGAGATGGATGGTTATTACCATGCAAACAACAAACACTAGCTTGGATAGACTTCGAGAGATAGTGGAGGATAGAACACTTGGCATGCTATGGTCCATGGAGTCATAAAGAGTCAGACATGACTGAACAAGAACAAGAACAACAATAACATGAATTCATGGTCCTACACCATCTTGGTGGCCCTTCTCTAGACACTCTCTAGCTAAATGATTAATTAAATCAATGGCTTAATGTCATTGTTGCAGGGATTTGTACTTGGCTCTGTGCTGTTTAACATTTTTGACAATGGCTTGAATAAATGCATATATGTCATACTCATCAAATTTGTAGGTGACAGAAAACTGGGAAGGTTAGCTAACACAAATGGATGATAGATCCTGATAGGATAGAACATTGAGCTCAATCTTAATGAGATGAAATTCAGTAGGGATAAATGTAAAGTTTTACCATGTGGTACTAAAAAAATCCAAGCCCCTCCACAAATATGAGATGTGGGAGGATAAATAGAAATTGTTCTGAAAAGGACCTAGAAGAGGGGAAGTTAGTGGACTGCAAGCTTAATATGAATCAGCAATATGATGTGGCAGCCGAAGAGCTAATACAGTCATGGGCTCTATTAGGAAGGCCATAGGTCCTAGGAACAGAGAGGTCATAATCCCATTATACTCTGCCCTTGTCAGAACCCATCCGGGGTATTGCATTCAGTTTCTAAAGGACATTTATCTAGAGTGTCTAGGGGATGGTGTCTAAGACAGCATACAGCCTTGAATTCATGACATATGGGAATTAGCTAAAAGAACTGGGCATGGTTAGCCTGGAGAGGAGAAATCTCTGGGAGGACTTAATAGCTGTCTTCAAGTATTTGGAGAGGAGGGATTAAACTCATTCTTTTTGGCCCTAGAGGGCAGAACTAGGGACAATGAGTAGAAGTTGCAAAGGGACCAATTTAGGTTTGATGTCAAGAAAAAAATCCTGAATAATGAGAGTTGTGTGAATTGCAATGACTGGCCTCAAGAAGGTAGAGGCTGGGTGATCCCTTGTTGTGTATGTTATAGTGGGCATCTGGTCATGTCTAAGGTGGACTGCACAGCATCTAAGGCCATTATGATTTTGAAATCAACATTTTCAGTCACCTTGGCCCTAGAAGGAAGCAGAACAGCATCGCACATGGCCTGTTACACTGCATTAATCGTATGTAGTACTATATGTTTCAAAACCACTAATACATTTAGAATTTTTGCTTATATTGTGAATTTTGGGTTTGTTTGTTTATTTAGTCTGGACCTGTGATTTCAGTGATGTTGGAGTGGAAAAACTCTCTTGACAAGGCACATTAGCCACTCTTCTGAAATCTATAATTTTATTTTTTTTTAATTTTTTTATTAATTTATTTTGATTTATCCACAATCACTTCCATATGCTTTTGAGTTTAAAATTTTCTCCCCCTTCCTCCCCACCACCCTCCCCAAAACAGCGCACAATCTGATATAGGCTATACATATACATTGCTATTAAACATATTTTCACATGAGTGATGTTGTAAGTAAAAATTAGAACTAATAGGAGGGACCACCAGAAAGAGGAAACAAAACTCAACAGAAGAGAAAAAAAATAGCAAATAGTATGCTTCCATCTGCATTCAAACTCCCTAGTTTTTTCTTTAGATATGGGTAGCACTTTCCATCACGAGGCCTTTGGAGATGTCTTAGATCCTTATATTGCTGGGAAGGGTCAAGTTTATCAATATTAGTCATCGCACAACGTGGCTGTTATTGTGTACAAGGCTCTCTTGGTTCTGCTCACTTCACTCAGCATCAGACCATACAAGGCTTTCCAGGTTTTTCCGAAGTCAGCCTGTTCATCATGAAATGAATAATTTTAGAGTGGTCTCAAGCACTGGGTGGTTTTGGTGATTTGTCCAGGATCACAAAATCAGTCTGAGTCAGAGATGGGATTTAAACTCAGGTCTTCCTACTTCCAAGCTGTCTCGCACATTCTTCCTACCTTGGAAAAATTAACTGATATTAGTAACAAAGAATCAAATAGGCTCATGAAAGCTGTTACTTGCACATTATACAAAATACATTAAATCAAGACTTTTTATTATTTCTATAGTTTAAAAATTATTTGGAAAGTGGGATGTTAAGCAGTAGAATTGTTTGACTGAAGAAAAAAGGAAATAGCAATATCTACTACTCAATTCAAGCTTAATAAATTTATTATTTTATTTCAGTTTCTAGAATTCTGTGTAATCTATGGCCAGGATCCAGGTTTACGTGTACACAGTTCAGGCTTGAAAGCATATTCTTTCTTTATGTCTCATTACCCAAACCAAATTTTTCTTAAGGAATATAATAATTTGACTCAATTTTCCCCCATTTAGGGTTTTTCCCTAAGGAACATCACAATTTGCTTGTGTCCAAGTCTCTGTAGAAAAAGGAAAAGGGGGAGCAACTAGGTGGCACAGTGGATAGAGCACTGGCCCTGAAGTCAGGAGGACCTGAGTTCAAATCCGACCTCAGACCAAACACTTGACACTTATTAGCTGTGTGATCCTGGACAAGTCACTTAACCCCAATTGCCTAAAAAAAAAAGAAAGAAAGAAAAAGGAAAAGGGCATTAGCTCCTGTGTAAGCACTCAAGCTAACAAAACATCTAATATAGGCCAAGTTTTATTTAACACAACAAAAACTGCAAAACCTCATAGTCAAACTTATAACCAGTCAAAACAACTCTCTTTCCCTCTCTGGTGAGCCCTGCCCCTCCCTTGTGGCCTCCCACCCCCACCCAAGAGCCTATACAGTTCTTCAAATTTATAGGATTATCTTGAGGTTTATCCTTCCCACTCCCTGCCCCTAACCCAAAGGAAAAAAAACCAGAACACTTGTTGCTAGAAACTCCAGCAACACCACCCCTCCCCAGTGACCTGCACCTTTCCTAGGCACCTATAAGGTTTTCTAACTTACAGTACTCTGTTGAAGTACAGTACTTGCCTTCTGGCAAGATAAAGACACTCAAGGTCCATAGGACATTGACTGCTTTCTCTGGCCGTCAGTTTGTATAACTCACAGTAGAGTGAAGGGCACGGTGCCTGGGTAGGCTTCTCCCTATTATCACTGTCTCTTACTGCTCCTCAGCTGCAGCTTCTAAGTGACCCAGGAATTCTTTTGCTTGGCACAGTAATTTGGTGCCATTCAGGAATTCATCTGCTGGCTCCAGGAGGCATGGTCTAGGAATATCTCCATCTCTTTGTCAGCTGGCATTCCTGCAGCTCCCAGCCGGGCCCAGGAACTCTTCTCTGTGCTGCCATCTGTCTCCATCAGCTGCCATCTTTAGACATGTGCATTTCCCTGATGCGCTGGTTTCTTGGAGATGTTATAGAGGCCACGTGGCTGTACAGATTTCCTTCCAGTCTATGTATATTGGCATTCATGTACATTTTCCTTGAGTCCATGTATATCTGACTAGTATCCCTCTGCCTATATTTGGCTCTGTGTATTTTCCCATACTGAGCAAAGTGATGGTTGAGAAGAAATATAAATACTTCAGCTAATGTAGTTCATTTGCTATTGTCTTCAATCTCAGAATGTGCGGCTCAAGTCAGAGCAGGCATGGCACCTCAAGAATCTGGTGAGTGAGCTAAATGACGAACAGAAGAAGGCAGCAGCATCACCACCGGTGACAAGGGAAGAAGTAGAAGAAGCCCTGAAACAAAAATGGAAGTTCGTTAAAGACCAGGAACAAAATTTGAAAGGTTATTTAATAATGATTTGGACTTTATCAGTACATTTTACTTATTTAGCTATTGGTTGGATGTGTTTTTTTTTTTCTCCAGTGGGATCAAGATGCTATGAACATTTCTTAATGACCAATCAGTAATTCTTAATTAATTACTTATTTACCACCTATGTAATCAGACTGCATAGGAATATGAACAGGAAACAGAAAAGAAAAAAAGTTGGAGGGGCATAGAGAGTCTAGAGACTGGGATGAGAAATAATAAACAATGACTTCAGATGATCGCATAATGTCGTCAACACAGGACAGAGTTTTTTTGGGCACTCTGTTCTCACTCCACAAAATAATGCTAAGGCATTCTTCTCTCATCTAAGAGACGGGGAGGCCAGGTGTTAAGATGGACATCACGTGGGAGGAATTGCGAGAAGGCTGTTGGGCTGCGTCAGAGAGTGTGTAAAGGGAGTGATTGTAGCAAGGCTGAACACGTGCCAAGGTTGTATATCTCCTGATCACATGCTGAGGCAATCCTGCCACGAGCCCAGAAGTAGGAAATGAGGAAACCGACACAGGAGAGTGTCTGGGCACACAGTGTCTTGCCCTTGAGACTGACCCAGGGAAGTTTTCCCCTTGACAGGACATAGCTTTCACTTATTTTTACTTCCTTCCCACCCATCAGTCACACTTAGTCTTACCTTACCTCTGCCGCTGAAGTTTTAAAACCAAGTCTGGCCCAATACCCTCGGACTCTTGAGACTGCTCGGGGCTGGGAACTGGAGAAGCCAGGAGGGAGGATTTGGAAGGACCAGGAAGCAGCTTGGGGATAGTGAGGTACAGAACTGGGACTAGGTCTCTCGACGGGCTTAGCCATGATGAGAAAGCAACAATTTGACGGTTCTTCCATTTGGAAAAAAAAAGAGCCTCAAATGCTTTTTTCCAATTTCCAGACCATCTCTAAGGAATTTAGATCACTTTTATATAACACCAGAGCAGACCGAAAGGTGTGCTGACATGAAATCTAAAAAGCAGCCTAAATCTGAGCGGTGCCTCGAAAGCCAGCACCACACTTAGGGAGTCTTTGGAACAAGTGAGGGCCCGGGACGATTCTGGATTTAACTAATAGGACCAACCTTCTCCTGTCCCTGGACCCCGAAATGACTGTAGGAATGTATGCAGTAGCATTAAGTCCATTTGGCTCATTGTCATCAGGACACAGCAACCTCTGACAAAGGCAATGAGAAGAGGGAAAGGATGTGACTGTCATTGACCTTATGACACTAGTCATCATTGCCCAAATGTTAAGTATTTTTCATGCCTAAGAGCATAGCCCAGTGCTCAAGACTTCCCCTGGGGACACATCCTACTTAGAGAAAGGTAGGTTATATAGAATCAGTCTTCCCAGAGCCGTCCTGCTGTCCTACAAAAACGTCTTCAATGGCTTTCTTGTGGCTCTCTTACTGTTAAGCCACATAACTATCCCCTCAAAACAAAATGGGCTGGCCTAAGCAGAGGTCTGCTTGCTTTTAATCAGCTGCTTACAGGCAATCTTGGAATAGTAGAAAGTCTGATGCTGTCATTAGGGCTCCTGGCAAATTTGCTACTTTCTTGGTTATGATGAGGACTGTCTCATAGATTGACTACCGGGCATTGCTGGTATGGTCATGCCTGCTTTAAGTAGCTCATGGGAGCCAATTGTTAAATAGTCAGTGTGAGCATTTACAGCTTTGGAACTGGTACGTGCTACAAATCAGGGCTTGCTTTATTGTTTTGTTGATTGTCTAGGCTTAGAATGATGGGGAAAATGTTATTAATGCAAATTAAACTTAAAAGCATGTCCAGCATATTATCCCCCCTGCAGAGAGCTAGTTGTTAAATATTTATGGGTGCACCGATATCTGTAATTGTTCAGGGTGCATTGTTGTCTGTAATTGTTCAGTTGTTTTTCGGTAATGTCCAACTCTTTGTGACTCTATTTGGGGTTTTCTTGGCAAAGATACCAGAGTGGTTTGCCATTTCCTTCTCCAGCTCATTTTACAGATGAGGAAAACAAGGCGAACAGGGTTAAGTGACTTGCCCAGGTTCACACAGCTAGTATCTGAGGCAGAATTTGGATTCATGAAGATGAATCTTCCTGTTTCCAAGCCCAGTGCTCTATCCACTGCACCACCCAGCAGTCACTGTAATGTTACCTTTTAAAAACTATTCAGCAAGGGGCAGTTAGGTGATGCAGTGGATGGAGCTCTGGCCTTGGAGTCAGGAGGACCTGAGTTCAAATCTGGCCTCAGACACTTGACACTTACTAGCTATGTGACCCTGGGCAGGTCACTTAATCCCAATTGCTTCACCAAAAAAAGAAAAAAAACTATTCAGCAACATAGTATCACAAATAAAGACATAGACATCTGTCAGAATAAGAGCTTAGCAGGGATATTGGGTCAGGATGAATTTATATAAATTAAATGTCTCCTGTTGGACTTACCTACGTGGCTCAGTGGATAGAGTGCTGAACCTAGACTCAGAAGGACTTGAATTCAAGTCTCAGACAATAGTTGTGTGATCTTGGGCAAGTCATTTAATAACCTCTATTTGCCTCAGTTTCCTCAACTATAAAATGGGGATAATAATAGTACCTATCTTCCAAGGTTGTGGTCAGGATCAAATGAAATAATATTTGTAGAGTACTTAGCACAGTACCTGGCACATAGTCAGGTCTATGTAAATGTTAACTATTATTATTATCAATGTGTTACTACCATTTGGTGGTCAGGAACATGTGCAGAGTGCCTCTGATGGCATTTCCTCACATGGTTTGCCACGTGGAGCCTGTTACAGAACGTCTGCTCGGACTCCAATGCCTCTCCGTGGCTCTTCTTGTGCTTATCCTCATAATTCTCCTGAAAGCAGGCCCTTAGCCTCTCCATGTTGGGAGATGCTGTTAAAAGCTCTCTCTTCACGTTCTAGACCCTTGGGATCCTGGCTTTGGGGTTTTTATATTTTGGGGTTTTTATATTGCTTTCCACATCCACAGTCCCAGGTAGTGGATTAAATACGCCCATTTTATGGATGAGGAAACTAAAGCTCAGGGAGATGAAGGGACATTACAATTACAAAAGAAAGGACAGATTTGGAATTTAGACCAAAAGTCTTTTCCCTCCAAATCCAGGGATCTTTCCAATATATAAAACTACTTCCATCCCTGGGAAGTACTAATTCGTATGATTAGAAATGAAAAAAAAAAAGAAAAGAGAGGTTTACATGATGAGTGTATCTTACCATTTCACAAGAAGGCAGCCCAAATATTCAAACTTTGTGATTAATTCATCAGAGACATTTCAACAAAAAGAGTTGCTGGAACCTTGGTAGTGACCTAAGTAAAAATTAATTCTTGCACACAGGCGTGAGAAGCCTGGATAGTAAAAATGTACCAATAAACACTACATGTAATGTCACAGTGTATAAATCAGGGCCATGATATTCTTATCAGGCAAGGAAAGGTGATGCTAGAACTTTGGATTATCAGACATTCCATGTAAGCTCTCAGGGTGGCCAGGAACCCACATAGCTTCTCTGTAGAAAGCGGTCTTCTTGAAATATTTGAAATAGGAATGACCGATGAAGAAATTTTTCATTAAAGAATGGTTTAAAACAAGTGTCATAAAGTTGTTTTATATAGCAGCATTTTCCTACTATTATTCTATACCCTGAGTAGCTAGGTGGCACAGTGGATAGAGTGCCGGGCCTGGAGTCAGGAAGACTCATCTTCACGAGTTCAAATCTGGCCTCAGACAATTAACTAGTTGTGTAACCCTGGGCAAGTCTCTCAGTGCTGTTTGCCTCAGTTTCCTCATCTGTAAAATGAGCTGGAGAAAGAAATGGCAAACCACTTCAGTATCTCTGCCAAGAAAACCCCAAACGGGCTCACGAAGAGTCAGACACGACTGAAAAATGACTGAATAACAACAATTCTTTACCCTTATACAATCAGATTGCAACATACTAGTAACTGTAGAATGGTCATTATCATTCAATGAACAAGATGGTAGAAATAATTGAGCGTGACATTGCATCTTCATTTTCTTTCAACAGATATGCGTGTGCAGATAAATAATGCTGAGAAATTATTCCTTGAGAAACTTGGAGAGAGGGAATATTGGGAGGAGTACAAGAATGTAGGGAGTGAACAACATGCTAAGCTAATCAGCTCCTTAGAAAATGACATCAGTTCAATTAAAGAGAATACAAGGAAAATGTCAGGTCAGTTCCTCTAGACTAATCCAGGTACATGTAATGAATTCTCAGAAGGAAAACAATGCTGGAGTGGGCAAGGAGAAAAAAGGGCACCCCTCAAATTGTACACCATCATCACTAACACAAGGAGCTGGGGAAGGGAACGAGGCTTTCTAAACCCCAGAGCGAAGTTCCAGAGATTTTGGAAGGGAACTGGGACCAGAATAAGCAGGAGATTTCGGTATCAGGAAAAGGTGAGCTAGAGGAAGCATCCTGGCAAACAGTGGGCATCCAGACAACTGGCTCCAACGTGCGGTGGAGGGAAGGGAAAGCAGAACAGGAGAAGAATACACTTTCAGGCAATGAAATCAGAGCAAATAGTTGTTTTCTTTGAATCCCAATACAGGCTCCTTCTGAACACAGTGCAGCTTTTTTCTATGTGCTCTCTAAGACTGTATGATCTGCCCTGGTGCAAAACGTGGAATGGAGAGGGCATTCTGTGGAATTGAGGAGGAGGCCATATATTCACCAGCAGAAAGCTAGAGGGCACTTCAGAGGCCATCTGGACCAACCCCTCGTTTTAGAAATGAGGAACAGAGGCTCAGTGAATTTAAGTGACTTGTCCACTTGTCCAGAGTCATATAGGTAGTTATTATCAGACACAGAATTGAACCTAGGTCTTCCGACTCCTGACCTAATTCTCTTCACTGTACCACACTGTAGTTACTACTCCAAGTAGTCAGTGTAAAGCAAGAATGCATCATCTTCCATACTTGGTCAGTGAGCGCAGCAATGTTTACCAGAGAAATGTCTCTGATGAATTAATCACAAAGTTTGAATATTTGGGCTGCCTTCTTGTGAAATGGTAAGATACACTCATCATGTAAACCTCTCTTTTCTTTTTTTTTTTTCATTTCTAATCATACGAATTAGTACTTCCCAGGGATGGAAGTAGTTTTATATATTGGAAAGATCCCTGGATTTGGAGGGAAAAGACTTTTGGTCTAAATTCCAAATCTGTCCTTTCTTTTGTAATTGTAATGTCCCTTCATCTCCCTGAGCTTTAGTTTCCTCATCCATAAAATGGGCGTATTTAATCCACTACCTGGGACTGTGGATGTGGAAAGCAATATAAAAACCCCAAAATATAAAAACCCCAAAGCCAGGTTCTAACATATCTTCTCTTGTTAGTGAGGCCTTCCTCCTGGGGCCTTCACTTTGTAGAAGGGTCCAGGTTGGTCAGGCTTCATCCTCTTCCTGACTCTGCTCTCGACTTTCCAGTCATCAAAATCATTCCTCAGTGCCTGAGGCCTTCTCACCTTGCAATATCTAACCATCCTGGCAGCCTTCTTACCCTGGAATAGTCCTCTGCCAGTCCTTCTCCCGTTGCTAAGTACCTCCATTTTGTGGAGGCCAGCCAGCCTTTATTTCCCTTCTGGATCCGCTGATGGCTTTCTGCATTTCTGGGTACCTTCATTACTCCCCTTGCCAACCTTTTGCTTTTCAGGTCACTTTTACATGTTATCTTCCCCCATTAGAATGTAAGCTCATTAGGGGCAGGGACTGTTTTTCTTTTTGCTTGTATTATATCCCCAGCAATTAGCACAGTACCTGGCACATAGTAGGTGCTTAGTAAATTCTTGTTTTTTACCTTCCTTCTTTCCTGTCTCCCTCCCTTCCTTCTCTTCCTTCCTCCCTCCCTCTCTTCTCTTCCTCTCTTCCTCTCTTCCTCCCTTCCTTCTCCTTCCTCTCTTCTTCCCTCCCTCCCTCCCTTCTTTCTTTCCCTTCCTCCCTTCCTTCCTTGAAGGATAAATACTAGAATTTGAGCAGGTGTTCTCACTATCTCCTGGTTGGTGGCCTGAGCAAGGTACAACCATCTGCTTTATTTCCCCCTTTTTATGAGATATGTTGCTGGGAAGGCAGAATATGTCTATTGGGGTATCCTTTGTTTAGTTGTCTGAGATGCTGCCCACTTTTACAGAACTTCTGAAGGGGATCTGTATTTAGAGATTTAGAAACCCAAACTATCTACCCTAAGTAGTCCTAGTGAAACTCTTTTACCTCAGCTTTCCCTACCCCAACCAGAAATGTTCCAAATAAATTAGAAACAGAGTTAGGTAGGGCAGATGTCCTACTTGGTTAGATTTGTTAAAATTTTCAGATAATTTTTTAGCAGTGGTGGCCTTCTGGTCATGGATTCAATAACATTAAATTGGTTCTTTAACTATTATTCATTTGCTGGAAACCTGTGAAACTTACAGCTAAGAAAGCATCTTCTCTCATTTTATTTTTAAATTAACAAGCATTTTCTCTTCCTCCAAATTCTCCTTCCCACAAAAAAAGAAGAAAAACAAAGCTCTTCTCATAAATTTGCAGTTATGAAACAAATTCCCACACTGGCCATGTCAAAAATGCAAGACATTCTGCATATTTAACCCATCATCACTCTGTCAAGAAGTAGGTAGAATTCTTCATCATTGGTCCTCTGGAATCATGGTTGATCATTGTGTTGATCAGAGTTCTTGAGTCTTTAAAAGTCGTTCATCAAAATTGTCCATTTTTACAATGTTGTTACAATATGAACCTTTCTCTTAATTCTGCTCCCTTCACTCTGTATCATTTTATAAAAATCTTTCCAGATTTCTCTGAAACTGTCCTTTTCATCATTTTTTTTTTGCAGCACAATAACATTACATTGCATTCATATGCTTCAGCTTGTTAAACTATTCTCCAATTAATGGGCACTCAGTTTCTAGTTCTTGGCCTCCATGCAAAAAAAAAGAGCTGTGATAAATATTTATGTATACATAGGACCTTTTCCTCTTCTTTGACATCTTTTGGGTATATATAGACCTACTGCTGGTATTACTGGGTTAAAGGGTAGGCACACTTTAGTAATGTTTTATATTCCAAATCCCTTTCCAGAATGGTTGTACCAATTCACAGCTCCAATAGCAGTGCACCAATGTGCTTGTTTTCCCACAACCCTTTGAACATTCTTCATTTTCCATTTTTGTAAACTTTACTAATCTGATAAGTATAAGCTGGAATCTCAGAATTGCTTTAATTTTAATTTCTCCAATTTATTGGTTATTTATATTGGTTTATTTTATGTTATCATATATTGGTTATTTATAGCATGTTTCCATATGACCACAGAAAGTTTAAATTTTTTCCCAAGGATGCATCTTATGCAAGGGCCAAGCAGGCAGCCAGCATGTGATGCGATTTGAGGGGCAGACAGTTGCAAAATATTTTTGCTACCCAGGTGCCGTAGTATACAAAATTCTACCATTAGAGATTTATTCCTTTGCGATTTCTTTCTGACATCATTTGAAAATATTAATAGTACTGAGAAAACTAACATATCAAACAAATTCACAATACGTTTATATCTATTAGATCATGCTTCTTCCTAATGGTGGGAACCCTTTTGTGAAAGCTCTGACTTACTTGGGAAGGGGGGTGAGGGTGGAGGTGGGGAAGGATGCTGAAAATCAGGAAAGGAACATAGAAGTGAGAGGAACATACTCTCCATGGGGAGAAGAGAAGAAGGAATTCGGTTATTTTTACAACTTTGCCTGAAATTAGCCCTGCTCATAGTTTCTAATTTTCTTTCGAAAGAATATTATAGAGCTTCTCTGGAAGAAACTAGAAAGAGAATTAGCAGCAACACCTTGAAACAAATGGTTGAAAAGAAGGAATTGGCCACACAGGTATATTTCAGTTTTCTGATTATTTTTCTTTTGTCTTGCTTCTGTATATATATATATATATACATATATATATTTTTTTCAGATACACCAAAAATAGTGCCAATTGACTTATTTTCATTAAATTAATGCCATATATCTAACTGTTATAACAAGGAAATATTTGAATAAATGAAATGTAAAAAAAATTGTGAATTTTCTAAAATGTAATAGTAATCATAACCTTTCTTGTATTTAGCAATTATAGTTTACAAATATTTTAACAATGGATCCTCAAAACCTTGTAAGTTATATGGTTTATAGCTAGTGAGCCCTAAGCCCATTACTTTTCCCACTACCATGCATTATATGCTTATTTTAAAACAAACCTAGGAAAGAAAATCTTCAATTGCAAATAAAATAATCTTTTAAAAGAAGGTTCATCTTGGGGACATCATGCTAAAGGGTCAGTTTATCTTTTTAACTGATTGACCCCACCTGAAGTTAATCCAAGATCATCTCCAAAATAAAGCCTAGGTATAGCTCATGTATATTTTGCCTACAAATGCATAGCAAAGTTCCCACTCTTGCATATGTACAAAATGTACAATATAGTTTTTGGTATGGGACTCTCTTTGTTTCAACTATCACCAAAAATTCATTAAATATATAACTCACAGGAATTGATGAGCAAATAAAGAAGCATAAAGCATTCAAATAGCCATTAGGCTCATCAGATTCCATTTCCATTTGATTTCATTAAATTCCAAAGTAATGATACTTTATGGTCTCACTGATTGAATAATCCCCACCCCCATTCACCTTAGATCTGAACTACATGAGCAACTCTCAGCAATATAATGGAAGGTTGAGTAGGCATAGATCTCTTCCCCCCCCCCATTCTTCCCCAATCCGCGTGGCATAGACTTAGATTGTGGGATAGTCCTTTTCCTTATTCAAACTTTTCAGCATTGAGAAGATATATTTCTCCTGGGAGGCCAGTGCCTGATTCTCAGGCTCAGGAACTTTTGATATCTTCAGAGTTCTAGAATTTGGGCACTCTTGAAGTCAGGATTATCCATAAGGCAATACCTGAGCCTTCAAACATCCTCTACCTTCAGAACTGTTAGTCTCTGACCAGTGTTCAGAAAAAAAAAAAAAAGCAGATGGCAACAGCCAGGAACTAGAGGTCCAGAAATTCCCCTCTCGGGCTGGACTAGGCAAACACAGGCTGTCACTAAGCCTTTCTATAAGTTTCTCTTTTTGCTTTTAGCTGGGGTTGGGGGAGGCCTTCAAGGGAAAAAGAGGTGAACTCATTTCATAGTAATTTTTATAGATCAGCACTTACATAGCATTTTCAGTTTTGCAAAGTGCTTTATAAATATATTATTTTATTCTCACAACAACCATAGGAGATATTGACTTGCCCAGGGTCACACAGATAGTAAGTGTCTGAGGTCAGATTTGAACCTGGGTCTTCCTGACTTCAGGTCCAACACTCTTTTCTTGCTTTTGTTCAAATGTAAATGATAAAATAAGACAATTCTCATGTCTATATGCATGAAATGAATAGATTACAGTATGGTTAATCCATAACTTTTCACCACCATATTAATTGTTACAGATTACTGAATGATTTGCCAATGACAACTCTCAATCATGGAAATGATCACAAGAATAGCCATCTTATCATCTAGTTCACCATTTCTTCTCTATGGATATAAAGCCAAAATCACAGCATGAAATCATGCAATTGAAACTTTCCATTTACATTGAAAGAATGATCTTGGCTACATCTCAGTACTGCAAATGTAAATGTAAAGGAATGACTAGAAATACTGATATATATATATATACACATATATATACATATTATACATATATACATATCATATATGTTGTGTGTGTATAGAGAAAGATTAATAACTCAAATTTGTAGTGTTGTGGAATTTAATTCTTTGAAACAGAAATATCATTATTCTTTTTTAGAATGCTGTAAAAAATATTGATAAACGCAGCAGTAGAGAAATCTTGGAGAATGACTGGCTTAAAAAAGAAGTAAGTAGAATATTTAGCATAAAATAATAGCTTCATTTTTAGGTTCAAATGTGACTTCTTTTTTCAGGTTATGAAATTCCATTATTTAGGATAGACAAAGTTACGAAAAAAGCACAGAAGCATTGACTAGGACAAGATAATTATATTTTCCATTTAAGTCTTAACTTTGTTACCACACAAATCTTTTCTAAAAATTTTATTGCTCATTGGGCCCTCCCTGCAGCAAGGCAATCCTCTTACTTCCTAATTGATTCTCTATGTCACCCACCACAGAAGCTATTCTAATCTTTCTCCTTCCTCCTCAAGCCACCCACACCTTCCACTTCCTCTACCTTTTAAGTTGAAGATTTTGTGTCCTACTTCACCAAGATAATTGGTCACTTCTAGTAATCAAGCTATGAGCTCCCTCTTCCCATCATATCCTTATCTCATGTCCCTCTGACATTGCCCCTCACTATATCCTCTTTTCCTCTGGTCTCTGATGAAGAGGTGATCTTTCTCCTTGCCAAGATCAGTTCCTCTACAGGAACCCTTGATTCCATGCCCTCCAGTCTTCTCTATTGGATTACCTCAGCTATTATCCCCAGTCTGTATTTACAGTCTTTCATTACTCTCTACCTACTGATTCCTTCCCTGATACCTACTAACACACCCAGATCTCATCTGCCCTTAAAAAATGCCCACTAGATCCTACCATCCCCACTAGTTATCATGCTATATCCCTTCTCCTTTCCCAGCTAAACTCCTTTAAAAAAGCCATTTGGTGCCTTCAAATCTTTTCTCACCCTCTCCTAATTATAATAGCTAAATTTGTTAAAGTACTTTAAGGTTTGCAAAGTGCTTCACAAATATCTCATTTTATCCTTATGGAAACTCTGAAAGATAGGTGTTATAATTGTCCTGATTTTACAAGTGAGGAAATAAGTCAAGTCACCTTCCCAGAATCATGCAGGTGGTTAGCTACTGAGGCAGCATTTGAATTCTGGTCTTCCAGACCAGACACTAAGTCCAGCACTCTATCGACTATGCCACCTTCCTGTAAACCTGCCTCTTCAAAACCCTCTGCAAACTGGCTTCCAACCTCATCACTCAATTGAAACTGCTCTCTCTAAAATTGCCAATGATATCAAATAGCCTTTAGAATGACCCTCAACTAAGTGGTGCAATGGATAGGATTCTAGACCTGAAGTCAGAAAGACCCGAGTTCAAATTTGGCTCAAACACTTACTAACCACAAGACCCTGGGCAAGTCAGTATCTCCTAGGGTTGTTGTGAGGATAAAATGAGATATGTATGAAGCTTTTTGCAAAACTTAAATTGCTACATAAATGCCAACTGCTATTATTATCATCACTATTATTATCATTCTTCTTGACTGCTATGCAGCATCTGACACTGTTGACCACTTCCTTCTGAATGCTATTTCTCTGTTTTTTTGTGACACTGCTGTCTTTTGATTTTCTTCCTACTTGTCTAACCTTACCTTGTCTGCTGAGCTTCCTGTCTGTCCTTCCTGTTTTGCCATTTCTTTCTCAATATCTTTTGATCCAATATCCTTGGATTTTCAGCCAAATTATGCCCACTATCTGTGGGTGTATTCCAAGACTTACCTGTGTCCTCTTTTCTCTCTACACTTTCTTAGTGACCTCATCAGATCCTGTGCATTTAATTATCATTTCTTTTCAGGTGACTCCCAAAGTGTGCGCTGTCTCTCTCTCTCTCTCTCCCTCTCTCTCTCTCTCTTTCTCCCACACACACAGACACACAGACCCCTACACGTGTATTTATGTTTATATTTATATATACACACATACATATATACACACACCTATGTATGTATTCATATTGTGTATGTAGGAATGTATATGTATGTATATATCCCTAGTCTATCTTTTGAACCCAAGTCCTGCATCACTGAGTACTGGACATGTTGAATGGGACATCCCATAAATATCTGATACCCAACTTATCCAAATCAGAACTCATTATCTTTTCTTCCAAATCTACCCCTTATCCCTCGTTCAAACTGAGACCCACTGTATAAGACCTTAGCTTGAAAAGGCCAAGGTGCCCCATTGCATCCTGGGCCATCTCCAGTCATCCTGATCCATATCTGGCCACTGGACCCAGATGGCTTTGGAGGAGAAAGTGAGGCTGGTGACTTTGCACAGCCCTCCCCCAGTTAAATCCAATTCACTTGCATGTCAAGGCATCACCTCCCTGATGTCATTGTCCTCTTCAAGAATGAAGGACAAACACAACAACCCCTTATCCAAACTTTGCTATTACCATCCAAGGAACTGCCATCCTTCCAGTCACCCAAGTTGATGATATTAGTATCATTTTTTACTCCATTATTCCCTCATATATCCAGTCAGTTGCCAAATTATGTTGTTGCTGTCTCTACAACATATCTCACACGTGTCTTCTTTCCATTCATACAACCACCACCCTACTTCAGATCCTTATTGTGCCTCACCTGGACTTTTGCAGTAGCTGCCTAATTGGTCTCTCTGTCTTGTCTTTCCCTCCTCTAATCCATTGTCTATACAGCTTAAAAAGCAATTTTCCTAACGTCTGACCGTGCCACCTTCCTAGTCAACAAACTTCAATGGCTCCCTCTTATCAGTGGGATCAAAAATAACCTCCTCTGTTTAGTATGTAAAGCTCTTCACCACCTGAGCCCTTCTTATCATTTTAGTCTCCTTGAACATTACTCCCCACCATGCATTCTATAGTTCAGGCACAACTCTCCATTTCCCATCTCCATGCCTTTGCACTGGCCATCCGCCATATTTGTAGCACTGTCTCTTCTCTGCAGGAAGCATTTCCTGTTCCTCCCAGTGTCTAGCACCTTCTCTGCTAAGGTTACATCCTACCAACACTGAATATGTCTTGTATACATACCTATTTATGCCTATATTGTATCCCCGTTTAGAATATAAACAGCTTGAAGCTTTTCAATTTTGCTTTTCCTTAATATCACCAATGCCTGACAGCTAGTAAGTGTTTAATAAATCATGTTGCTTTATCAATATTATGTGTGTATACATATATACATAAAACATACATATATATATACTGATATATGTACATTCTTAGCTCCCTGGATAGACTGTAAATTCCTTGAGGGAAGGAACTGTTTCTTACAATGTCTAGCACAAAGTAGATGCTTACTAAATACTTCTTGATTGCTTGAATTATCTCTCAGCATATAAGACCTTGAAATATCAACTCCTTAGTTCTTTAGTTTCTATCATATACTTATAGACTTTTGTTGGATTTGATATATTTTTAGTTTGATCTGGGAAAAGTTGTTCATTAATGGTTTAATTAGAGGGAAAATGTAAGTAATTCTTCCTATCTCAAAGTAACCAAGAACAGACTAACTGCTTATAAGACAGATATTTGTAGATGGGCAGAGATGTCTCTGTATTATTTTATGCTTAAATATTATACTAAACAGGGAGAATTTAAGATTTTAAGTTTAAAAAATGATATCTAGATCTAGTAGTTAAAAAAGATGTAATGTTATCAGTCATTGACTTACAGGTATAGTAGCTAGTTGGTAAATTACTTTAATACTGCCTCCTCTTGGGAAATTGTGACATTGCCAGAGGTGAATCCTCCACTTTGGGTCATCTGTCTTTTGACAACACCTTCTCCAGATTTGTTCTTTTTTTCGTAAGGTTTCTCCAAGAAAGACAGGGGTGGAGATCTCACAACTGAGACATTCTTGTGTGACCCTGGACAAGTCACATAACTTCTCCAAGCCTCAGGTTCCTCATCTACAAAGTAGGACTAATACTTGTAGTACATACTTAATAGGGCTATTTTAGAGCTTAAAGGAGATAACACATGAAAAGCTCTTTGCCAACTTTAAAGCACTTTATAAACTTTGTTTTTTTGCTATTGTTTTTATTATTACTTTTCTTTACCTTCTAGTTTCCTATCTAATTTTTAAAAATTTACTCATAGTTTTCTATAATCTTTACTTCTTATTGTCACCACCTACCACAATAACTTCTTAGGTATTTTCCCTTCTTTTAGTATCTCTTTTCCAATCTTAAAAGCTACTGTCAGAATAATCTTGTAAGCTCCTTGCATATAAGTACCATCTCTTATTTAAAGTATCCATGATCTCATCAATGTGGGAAATCCCTCCTTTAAGCAGATCACAACCCATCCATTCTTTCTCATCTATAGTTTTCCATAAATCCTTCATAAGAGAAGCTATCCAATGTGCTAGAGGCTTTTCTCAGGGTCTTTTAATATTTTGTGGGACTTTGAATGCCCATTGACTATTCCTCCATCTGATTACATGACCAACCAATCTCCTTTTTCCTATCATAGGTGCCCTTTGACAATTTATTGTACACTACTTTTTTGCACACAAGGCATCATTGGGAATACTTATATGCATCTTGCATTTTTCCATATTCCTTTGAATTAACCATAGTTTTGATTCTTTGGTGATGGTGTACCATGAGTAACAGTCATATAGTGTCACTAAAAGGATATGTGAATATTAGTATTAAAGGATGACTTTCATAAGTTGTATCTTGGGATTATTGAAAATGATCTTTAGTTTCCTACCTTTACTCCTTCTATTCAATTCTGGGTCCAGCTCACTATTTATCTGAAGAATATGTATACATATATATTCATGGATGTGAATGTACATGTAAATACAATCTACAATAAAGACCTATGTATGTATAATACATATGCAGGCTATTATAATACATAATGTTTATGTGTCTGTGCATACATGCATGCATTTCTACTGAGAAGCACCAAAGCAGAGTGGATAAAAAGCTAACCTCAGAATGAGTTATCATCAGTTATTGTCAATTATCAGACTCAGGACCGAGTTCAATTCCTGCCTATAACACATATTATTTGTGTAACACCTGGAAAAGTATTTAACTTCTCAGTGATCAACAACTCTTTAAAACTGTAATCTGCAGAAAAAGTGTCATTGCACTCTGGAAGAGGAAATGTCTTCATCAAGAGATGCCTATGCCAATTAAATCATGGGTCCAACATTATCTCATCCATATCTATATTCATCCATCCAAAAAAATTTATGTGTACGTGCATGTACATGTAGGTGTATATATATGTATATATATGTATATATATATATATACATACACACATATAATCTATAAATATATACTATAAATGCATATATACATACATGTGTATATGTATATCTTTGTGTGTATGTGTAGATAGATAAAGATATAGACATGACTCAGAACCTTTGCTCTAAGTTTACATGGCCTCATGGACTAGGTCCAGCCTTGGGTCTTCTTGCTAACTCTTTCTTTCTGACTCATGTCTCCAACCTGGAAAGGTCCAAAATTGACTCTAGGTCTCTATGGAATAGGTCCTCAGCTTCCATACAAACACTAAAACTAAAAACAAATAAACATCAGCTAGAGAACATGCTTTATTTAAAAAATAAGACAAAAATGGAAAGGACTCATTTCCAAGATTGTAGTCAAAACAAATCTCCTTCCCTTTTTTTATGATTGCCACATTCTAATTATAGTTCTGTCCTGAGTTGACATACCCCTTCCCATTCCAACTCTAGAAGGGAAAATAAGACAGGATTGCCACAGAGTCAAGCATCCACCTATCTTTTCGGGCCCCACCTCTTCAGAATACTTTATATTGTTCTAGCCTTATAGTACTTCCCTAGGTAGGACTTCTATCAAGGGAAAAGCACTTGGCATTAGTAATCTACCCTTCTCTCCAAGACCTTCACAGGTCACATAATGAACAATACATTGAAAACCAATGTCTGGATGTTCTCCTCTACTTGGTGGTTCTGTCCTTTGATCTGCTTCCTGCTTGCTCCAGAAATCCCTTCATGGGGTGCTGCGGGTTTGGTTCAGTAACTCTTCTGCTGGATCTAGGAATTTCTCACTACTTCATTACTACCTTTGTCCACTGCCATCTCTGGTGCCACAGGGTTCTTTTGAGGATATGGTTCCCTGAAGGGACCATGTGGCTGTGGGAGCTTTCCTCCAGGGAATGGAGTACATGTGTATATCTGTCTCATCTCCAAGCTCTTGCTCACCTCTCTCTCTGGTTCCTCATACTCCTGAGAGCCTTTTAAGTCTCTCAGATATATAGCCCTACTGAGAGTGGAGCCCCATTCTCCTGCAAGGGGAAAGAACTTAGAATTTCTTGACTCTTTAAATGCATAATGAGTTACAGACAGATCAGAGCAGGCTGGATTCCCTTTGGGATATTTAAAATCTCTTGACCTCAAAAGTCTTCCCAAACAAAAACCTATCTTGCTAATGCCAATATTCTACCATACTTACTATATCACTGAAAATCATGTAACATTACAGTCTCTGAAGATTTAAAAATGGGCATCATCAAGGTGGCAGTAGATACAGATGAGCTTAAAGAGGCTGCAGTATATTATAAACAAAGGATTTGAAAAACTGGAGTAAAAAATGTCATCAAAGAAGTGTATAATTTAAGTGAAGTATTTAATTTTTTAAAAAAAGGCCTTATGCTGTTAAGGTGAGTATTATCAAAATACACCTGATAAAGACTGATTTAAATGAGTTTCTACAGCATCAACAAGTTCCTTTTCATCTTTGAATTTAACTGTTTATTAATCCAGCTTGAAAATATAGCTGTCCTTATTATCTTCAGGGGATCAAGAAGACAGGCGGCATAGATAATGGTTAAATCCTGGAGGCATCACAGAGCAGGTAGAGTGCCTGAATTGGAGACAGAAAGACCTGAGTTCAAATCCCTTCTCAGGCATTTTTTTTTTAAATCTATGGACAAATCAATCTCTCTCTATGCCTCAATTTCCTTCTCTGTAAAATGAAGAAGTTTGATTCAATGACCTCTGTGACCCTTTCAGCTCTAAATCTCTGATCTTATGGAATAATAATAAAAATCAACTTGAATTTCGTTTTGGAACAAAAAGTTAGATATAGAAATTTTACTGAAACAGATTCACATACCTCCTTTCAAGTCTGTTTTCAACCCCTCTTTTGGGGTTGCTTGGTCCCAACTTAAGAGCTTGATAAGGAGAAAGAGTCCATCCCTGAACCCAGATAGGCACCTGGGGAAAAGAAGCTTCATTCAGGTCACTATAGATAATCCTATTTCCAGATAACCTACTCACTTTCTCCAATTCCATTGCACATATCAGATCTGACACTGCCCAAAATTCTCACTACAAAGATAAGCTTTAAATGCATTGACAGTTTTTACTTTTCTAAAAACAAGCAAAAAAACCCAGTGCCGTTTATCATTTAGGGCATTACTAGATTTCTCTTTGCTGCATATAGCTTGTATTCAGACCAGGTCCATTCTTGACTCTGCCGTTTTTACATAAAAAAGATGCCCAAGCTTGATATATACTTTTGGTTTCTCATGCCCCAAACTCATGTCTAAGTCACCTGGGTTTGGGGAAGGTTGGGGGTGAGGAAAGCAGAATAGAGACTAAACACTAGTTCAAAGATTTATGGGAAGGAGATTTTCCTAATTTTGTGGCGATGCACGCATGTTGTACAGATCATTTTGAAGAGCTCTGTCTATTCCTCCTAAAGTAATCAAAAGTGAATGCAGAAATCAGTGAAGAGTGATTCATCTTCCCCTAAAATTAATGCACCTTCTCTTCCAGCAGATGAATTTCTTTTAGAAAAATGACAGCAATTGTGTAATAGTGAGACAGTAATTTAGTAGAAAGAGCACATGATTTGGAATCAGAAGACCTGGATTCAACACCTCTTTCTAGCTGTGTAACCTTAGGCAAATCACCTTCTCTAAGTGTGGTTTCCTCGTCTGTAAACTGGAAATATTAATACACTGCCAACTTACTTCACGATCGTTGTGGGGAGCATATAAGAGGTTACTTTGCAATCATAAAGCACTACATAAATAAAGGCTATTATTCAGATTTCTACTGATAGTCTGTCTTTCTCCTCCTTTTGGGGTAGGTTGAACTTCATAAGAAAGAAGTAGCACAATTGGAAGTTGCTATTCACCATCTAGAAGAAGAAAATTTAGGGCTTATATGTCAGCTATTTGACTGCAGACTTGCAGACCTCAAAATAACCAGGTGAGAGTCATTAATACATTTAGAAACAGTGTTTTTGTTCATTTGATTGTGAAGACCAAGTTAACCTATTTGAGTTTTTAAGTCTATGCAGAGTTCGACAGCTAAATGGAAGGCAAGGGATAATGATGAAGATGATGATGATGATGGTAGAAAAACAATAATACTCTTTGTATGGCAGGAAGAAGACGATATTGATTCACCATGAGTAGAGTGAGAGCTTTGAGCTAATTTTCTACTTGTGGCAGCTGATTAGAATTCTTTTGCTTCGTCCCCCTTGAGAACAAAAGCACTTGTTAGCAAGACTGCTGGCCTCTGTTTAGCCTGTGGTGCTGAAATAGAGCAAACTAAATAGCCCACGTATGTATCAGACGCATGACCTCAGCATCAAATGCACTGTGCTCTAAAGTTAGCCAGACAGATAACTGGTACAGTGCACAATTTGGTGAAATATTATCAGGGTTAGTGTTAGAGTCAGTAGTTATTTTAGCTTTTATGAGAAGGTTAGTATTCAGGAAAATTGCTGGAAAGGCATTTTGTGGAAAGAGTTAATTAAATCTCTATTCCATAGTGGTATTAGGTGAATCCGACTAATATGGGTCTTGAAATTATTTCCTTTGTTTGAGGATTAGGACTATACTCAAATGAAACATTCTAGAATTAAAAAAAAAAAAGATTCTTTAAAAACTGTATGTGACTTGTAACACTCTATTTATTTAGGTAACTAACAAAACAGTCTTTGTTATTCCATCCTGGGAAAGGACTAGGATCATAGAGGAAAAGTTAGAATTCAGAATTATACTGACAAATTGAACAATACAAATAGTTTATTAGTGATGTGCTTAAGGAAGGTGGTGGGGGGAAGCAAATTGAACAAATACCATGTGGATGTTTGTGAATATAAAATTACAGAAATTACAAGGTAACCAACTGACCAGGAATTCATAACAGGTAAACATTCTATGCAAGCATTTCTTACAGTATGTGGAAAGCCAGTAAGAACATAGGGATCTGGGCATAAAGGGCATTGAGGTAGCACAGTGGATAGAGCTTTCGGCCTCAAGTCAGGAAGACCAGAGTTCAAATCCAGCCTCAGGCACTTACTATCTATGTGACCCTGGGCAAGTCACTTAACCTTGTTTGCCTCAGTTTCCTCATCTGTAAAATGAGCTGGAGAAGGAAATGGTGAACAATTCCAGCATCTCTGCCAAGAAAACCCCAAATGGGCATCACAAAGAGTCAGACACAATTGAAATGACTGAACAACAGCAACAAGGGCCATTTGCAGGGTTTGTGCCAGAGTCCTTTGTCCTAACACATTGCAATATCCTTTAAGGTTCAGCTCAAGTGCCACTTTTTCCATGACACCTTCTCTGCCTCAGGTGGAAGTAATCATTGAAACTCATAGCTCAATGTGTATCGCATATATTTTAATACCTCAATAATGAAGATAATAACAAAACAATTTATAAAGCACTTTCTTCATAACCATGTGAGATAGCTATTCCAAGTATCATTACCCCCATTTAATGGATGAGGAAACTGAGGCTGTGGGAGACTGTGACTTGCCCATGATAACATAGCTAGTAAGTGTCCAAGCTGGCATCAACACATAAGTCTCCTGACTCCAAATCCCAGGCTCTCACTATGATTCTTTACTCTATTTAATATTCTATTTATATGCATGTTTTGTCTTCCTCAACTAAATGGCAAGTTCTTTAGGAGTATGGAATGTACTTTATTCATCTTTTATCCCATTTAGCATCAGCATAGCACCTCATATGAAATAAGCATTCAATAAATCTGGAAGAGGCAAGCTCCTGTACTTTCCTTCTTTTTTTTTTAACTCCAATTTGCTTTCTTCCCTTTTAAAATGGATGATTTTTACATCACATTTTATTAGCACTCTGGAACATTTTATGTGACTATTGATCATTTTTTATTCCGTCCTCTGGAAATTACTCATATACTTCACTACTCGCTTGTTGGGGAATGCCTTTTGATTGTATATATGTATTAATTCTCTTTCTCTCTCTCTCTCTCTCTCCATATATATATATGTATATTATATTATATCTTAACTATCACACTAAGGGGAAATATTTCATGCAGAGGTTTTTACTGCAGTTTATTTTCTTATCCTAGAGGCAGTGATTTTATTTGCGTGAAAGCTTTTTCATTGAATGTAATAAAAACTGTCTGCTTTATCTTTCATATGTTTTTATACCTCTGACAGTGTGGTGCACTAGAGAGAGAACTGGCTTCAGTCAGGATGACCTAGTTTTTCCAAAATTCTACTCAGATTCATTTCTTTCCTATTTATCTTTCTAATATATTTAAGTCTATAAGTGACATATTAAAGTCCTCAAATTATTGACTTATTATCTTGGTCTTCTTGTAATTCAGTTAACTTGTTCTTTAAGTACTTAGCTGCCATACCATTCAGGAAGCATATATTTAATATCTATATTGTTTCATGATGTCTAGTGCATCTAAGCACAAGACAGTTTCCCAGCTTGTCTCTATTAGATATATCTATTTTTACTCTTGAGCTCAAGATTGTTACTTCTACTTTTTCTTAGATTCTCTGGAGGTATAATAAATTCTCTTCCAACTCCTCATTTTAACTCTATGAATCTTTATATTAATTAAATTTCTTATAAACAAACTATTAGAGTTGGTTTGTTTTCTAATCTATCCTGCCACTCTGTTTTATGGGTGAGTTTGTCATATTCATGTTCATTATTATAATTAAGTTTACTTTTCCCTCCACCAAATCTTGTTAAAAAATTTCTTATCTCCCTCCCTCTTTTGCTTGAGATTTTTTCTTTCCTGACTACCTTTATTCTCGAACCTCTTCTTTCCCCCTGCCATTCCCAGACCAGTACCCATCCTTAACCCATTTTGCTTCTATCATTAAATTATTTCTATTTATTTATTCTAAGTTATTTTTTCCCTTGCCTAGCCCAGACAAGCCCCTGGTTCAACACTTACCCCCTCCCATCTCTACAAATTAATAACCTTCTCTTATAATAGCAAACTTAAAAAACAAAAATTCCTGCTCCCTTCTCTTTTCTTCCCTAGAATATTTCTTTACTCTTCTTTTTTTGACACTCAAACTTATAGCTTATTTTATTTTATTCGTTCATTAACCCTTAAGACGGCCTCCTCTGTACTTCAAGATGTATGCACTTAATCATTATGTAACCTTTTTGAGCTGTTTTATTTATTTACCTTTCTTAAGTTTCTTTTGTCTAGTGCCTTGCAAGGCCTGTCTTTTAATAGAAATACTTGGAAGTTATTGATTCTGTTAAAAGTCTCTTTTCCCTTCAGAAGTATTTTTAGCTTTACTTGGTAAATTATTATTGTTTCATGCCAATTTCCTTTGCTTTTTTTGTATATTCCAATATTTTCATTCCCTTTTCAAAGTTGATGCATAATCTTATATGAATCTGATGAGGTTCAATGATGTCTCTTTTATGTGAAATAGTTTTGCCCATTCTTCCTCTCCCTTCCCCCTTCTCCTAGTGCATCCCTCTTTTTCTCCTACCCATTTTTTACATCATCCCAACATAGTCAACTCACTCCTTTTCCCTCTTTCTATGTAGAATTCTTCCAACTGCCCTAATAATGAGAAAAGTTCTTAGGAGTTACATGTGTTATCTTCCCATATAGAAATATAAACAGTGTAACTTTATGGAATCCCATATGACTTCTCTTTCTTGTTTGCCTTTTTATGGTTCTCTTGAGTCTTGTATTTGAAAGTCAGATTTTCTCTTCAGCTCTGGTCTTTTCATCAGGATTCCTTAAAAGTCTTTTATTTCATGAAATGTACATTTTTCTCCCTTTGAAGGATCATACTCAGTTTTGCTGAGTAGATTATTCTTGGTTGCAGTCCCAGCTTTTTTACCTTCCAGAATGTCATATTACTTACTCCTTACTCCTTTAACATGGTAGTTGCTAAATCTTGTGATCCTGAATGTGGCTCCACCGTATTTGAATTGAATTCTGGTTGTTTGAAGTATTTTGTCTTTGATGTGGGAGCTCTGGAATTTGGCTATAATATTCCTGGAAGTTTTCATTTTGGGCTATCTTCCATATGGTGATTGGTGGATTCTTTCAATTTCTATTTCACCCTCGGGTTCTAGGATATAGGGCAGTTTTCCTTAATAATTTCTTGAAATATGATGCCTAGGCTCTTTCTTTGATCATGGCTTTGAGGTAGTCCAATAACTCTTAAATTATCTATACTCAATCTATTTTCTAGGTCAGTTGTTTTTCCTATATTTCACACTTCTATTTTTTCATTCCTTTAATTTTGCTTTATTGTTTCTTGATGTCTCACAGAGTTATTAGCTTCCACTTTCCCATTCTAACTTTTAAGGTATTATTTTCTTCAGTGAGCTTTTGTACCTCTTTTCCATTTAGCCAATTCTGCTTTTCAAGGAATTCTTTTCATTAGTGAATTTTTGTACCTCTTTTTTTAATTCGGCCAATTCTGTTATTTAAGGTGTTATTTTCTTCAGTATTTTTGGTGCTTTTTTCTTTTTACCAGTTAATTATTTTTTCATGATTTTCTTCCTTTGCCTTCATTTATTTACCAAATTTTTCCTCTTCCATTCTTATTTGATTTTGAAAATTATCTTTTTAGCTCTTCAAGGAATTCTTGTTGAGCTTGTGTCCAGTTCACTTTTTTTGCTTTGAGGCTTCACTTGTAGCTGTTTTGACTTCATTGTCTTCTTCCGAGTTTGTGTCTTGATCTTCCCTGTCTTCATAGAAGCTTTTTATAGTCAAGTTCTTTTTTTATTGTTTGCTCATTATTCTGCCCTATTTCTTGATTTTCAACTTTATTAAAATTGGGCTCTATTCTTGGTTGGGGTGGAATGGGGGAAAGTACTGTCTCATGCTTCAGGCTTTTTTTGCACTGTTGTTTTCAGAGCTAGTTCTGAGGGTTTGGAAGTTTTTGTTGCTTCTAAGATGGTAAGATCTGGGGAGAGATATAGTCACTACTCTCCTGGTCTGCACTGTAATCCTTACCCAGGAAGGGCACCTGATCCCTTGAAACTAGAAACTATACTGTTCCTTAGGGCTCCCACTCCCTCTTAATTGAAAATGCTCCTCTCTGAACTATGACCCAGAGGTAGGCATAGGTAATGGATTTGCCAAATAGCATCTGGTCCTGTGTCCAGTGCTAGCACAGGAGTCCTCTATAATGTTTCTGACCATTTGCCAGTTCTTCTGGCATGAGAGTTCCCAAAGCTGCTGTTGCTTGTGTCATCACCACCTGGTCCCATCTCTGGTGTTTAATCCACATGGGCCTCATGCCAGCCTCCATCCCCATGTCAAAGATTTCTCCTTATGACCTCCTAAGTTGTATTATGTTGGAAGAGTGTTTCACTCTGACCTTTTATTGGTTCTGCCACTCCAGAATTTGATTTGAGGCATTATTTTAAAGTTGTTTGGAGGATAATGTTGGGAAAGTTCAGCTGAGGGCTTTTTCTATTCTGCTATCTTGGCTTCTAGAGCTCAATGATTCTTGTTTTATCTCTCTTAATCTTATTTTCCATGTCAGTTGTTTTTTTGAAAAGAGATGATTTTTATGTTTTGTTTTTGTTTGTTTTTTACTTTGTTCTTATATTTGTTACTGTATTATTGACTTTTTGAGGCATATTTCCTTGATTTTTTTCAAGGTGTCTAGTAATATGCTGAGATTTCTCAGTTTCTATTCTAGGAAGTCTATTTCACTTACTCGCTATATCTTAAGTACATTTATTTCAGCCTTCCAAACTTTTTTTGAAATCACTCTGACCATTCCATATTATTTTATGGAGTTATGGAGTTATTACAGAATTATTTTCTTCTGGAGTTTTATCCTGGGATTCATGTCACCCTCTGGACCAGGAAAGTTCAGAGGCTTCCTATTGCTTCTATGACAAAATCCAACTCTTCAACTTGACATTAGAACGCTTTACAGTTTGACTCTAGTTCACCTTTCCAGATTTATTGTATAGTGTTGCACTCTATTCATTCTCATTTGAGCCAAACTGGCCTATTTTAAGTTTCTCAAAACTAGCACTCCATCGCCCATTTTTGTGCCTTTTCATAGGCTTCTCCTCAATCCTGGAATGTACAACCTCCCCATCCCTTACTCTTAGAATCTCTAGCTTCCTTTAGAGCTGAATTCTTATACCACATCCTATGAGAAGTTCCTCCCTGATCCCCTTAGCCCTAAAGAGCTAATTAAATTATTATTTACATTTTTTTTGTTTAGATCCTATGTCTTTTAGCATAATTGTAAGCTCCCTGAAGGTAGATTTTTTCATTTATATATACATACATACAAAATATATCATATTATATATGTACATGTGTGTGTATATATGTGTGTGTATATACATATACATATACATATACATATACATATACATATATATATCCCTGGCACAGTACTTTGCACATAATGGGAACTTAATAAATGTTTGCTAGATTGAACTGAACTGGTTTGGATTAGATTGCAATATTTTAATTTATATTATTTCTTCCTTGCACCGAGACACTAGATATACAAAGACAACAACAACAACAAAAATCCTTGCCCTCAAGGAGCTTGCATTCTATGGAATGGGAGGAGAATACAAAATTTTAATTATTTAGCATTGCTCTGTCTTTGTTGTTTGTCAATTTTGTTAGTCTTTTTAAAAGTAGCCCTTGGATTTATCTTTTAATTTTTTTAAAAAAATTTTTAATTGTTTTAAATATCTGCTCTAATCTTTCTCTTTTCTGTCAGTTGGTTTTTTAGGTTCAGGCCCAGTTACCTTTCTCTTTTTCTTCTATACATACATATACATGTATGTATGTATGTACATATATATATATATAAATGTATGTGTGTTACAGACATACATATATTCAAGGTCAGAATTTTCCTGAGTAATCTGTTGGCTACATAATGCTGATTTTGATAGACATATTAGACCTTTGAATTGGCATTATCTGATATGATCTATTATTTTTATTCATTAAGGTGGAAATTGGAGCAAAAGACTGACTTTTGGGGGAGTTCTTGTGTGGAATTAAAAGTGCAAACTTCAGGATTTTCCTGGAGTAAGCGCATAGGAGCAGGGTGGCCTGTCTCCTATTCTGATAGATGTCTTGGTAGAAAGTTTCTCTTGTTGTTGTTGTTGTTTTGGTGTGTGAGGAAGGCTGACTCCCTTTGGTGTTCTCACATCAACCTCTTGGGTCAATCTGTCTCCTTCTTTTCATTCTCCTTGCAATGACCCTGGGCCAGGACCTTAAGAAGAGAGGTTCATCGTAGGAAGCTCCTTCCTTTCCTTCCTGTTTCTTATCAGTCCCTTCTCCAACGTGTCCTTCACCTGTCGACTATTAATTATAATCTTCCTTTGCTCCAGGCTCTCTACTCATTACACTAATCATTTTACTCCACTCAAAAACTTTCAGTGACTCCCCCGTGCTCACAGAAGAACATAGACATTCCTGATCCTAAAGCTCTATAGTCTGACTTGAAATTACCTTTACAGGTTTTGCTTATTCTATTTCCCTTCACGTATCGTACCTTTTGTGTTACTCGACACCTTTGTTTTCGCCCTGCCTTGTCCCATTTCTAAGACTTTGTTCCTGCTCTCTCCCATTCCTTGAAAAGGACATTCCCTCTATCAAACTCCTTTATTTCCTTTAACATCCAACCCAGATGTCTCCTCTTCCATGAAATCTTCCTTCCCTTCCCAATGTAAAAGTATTCTCTTCCTCATGTTTCTTTTCACTCACATTTAATTTATTCTCCCCTAGGTTATATTTTTGTGGACATGTCTTTTCCCCTTACAAATTCCTTGAGAGAAGAGCTGGTTGTGTATCACAAGACCTAATAACACAGTAAACCCTTAATGAACGCTTGCTAAATTATTTCCTTTTTTAACAATTCGAAAGCCTAGTATGTGATTGATGTAAAATACTTTTTAGTGAATAAATATCTAAAAATTTCTGTTAGCAAAATATAGTTCATTTTCATTTGTTTGTTTGTTTGTTTGTTTCTTTCTTTCTTATTTCTCCTTTAGACCTCTGTTTCTTACCCAAGCAGCTGGCCTAGGAGAGCAAGATTTTCCTGAAGAAATACAGTCAGGTATGATTATTTAATAATGATGTTTCATTTAAAAACCACCAAAACCATAGTTATAAATTTTATTTACAGACCTAGACTTTCAAGAAAAGTCTGTCAAAGAGTAATGCTTTTTGACAGTACAGAGTTACTTATATTCCCTTTGCTTGGTGATATGAGGAGCTGGTTATGATTTGGAGAGATGGTGGTTGCATCATTAATTGTAGACAGCCTCTGTACAAAATTTGTGGGGGGTTGGACATTTCTACATTCTCCAATGTTATCTATAGAGTCTGAGGATACTGGCAAAGACAGAACATCTGTGTACCTAAAGAGTATATCAGTGCTCACAGATTAGTAGTCCCTGTGTTGCCTTAGGAAGTGTTACTATGCCTCTGATACTGATGCTGAAGTATGATGGTAAAAATTGGCCCCTGGAAGTATGGAAGGAAGAAACGTTTGTTCTCTGGAGGTGAAAGTGAGTAGAAAATACAAAGTGAGAAAGTAAGTCTGTGTACAAAAGAAAGAGAGTGACTTAATCATGGGTAATATAAAAGAAAGAGTGCTCCTGGATTCACGCAGAGACCATGGTCAGGCCTACCTATGCACTGACCTCTGGACCCCAAAGGAATTATGTGTGGAGGGATGGCAAGGGAATAAGTATTTATATAGTGACTGCTATGCACCAGGGGCAGCTAGGTGGCACAGTAGATAGAATGCTAGGCCTGGAATCAGGAAGACTTATCTTTCTGAGTTCAAATCTGGCCTCAGACACATACTAGCTGTGTGACCCTGGGCAAGTCACTTAATCCTGTTTGCCTCAGTTTTCTCATCTGTAAAACAATCTGGAGAAGGAAATGGAAAACCACTCCAGTATCTTTGCCAAGAAAACCCCAAATAGGGTCATAAATAGTTGGATATGACTGAAAAATGATTGAACAACAACTATGCACTGGGCTCTATGCTAAGCATTAAAGCTATGCTAAGCACTATTAAAAGTATTCTTGCCTTTAGTCCCTGAGAGTAGGTGCTATTATTATCTCTATTTTATAGTTGAGGAAGCTGAAGAAAACAAAGGTTAAGTGATTTGCCCAGATTACACTGCTGGTAAGTGTCTGAGGTCAGATTTGAACCTAAAGAGCATATCAGTGCTCACAGATTAGTAGCCCCAGTATTGCCTTGGGAAGTTTTAAGTCTTAAAGTTTTAAGTCTTTCTGACTATAGGTCCAACGGTCTATGTAGTGCAGTGCTTGTAGCAATACCAGTACTGGAGAGCCACTTGGATTCTGAAACCCACACAGCATGTCTGAATGGCACATTTCTGAGCTCCCTGAAATCTCCAAAGGGACAGAGTGCTTGGAGAGCATAAGTGTACTAAGAGCTCAAGGTGTGAGGGAATATAAGTGATAGTCCATGAAAATTAATTATCTGCAAGATTGTGATGAAATATATCTACTCCAGGGAAGGCTTGGATTTCCAACATCTGTCCAAAAAATGACGTTGACTGCCTTGGGAAGTAGTGAATTTCCCATTAGTAGAGGTCTTTAAATAGACCTCTTGTTGACTACTTGTTTAGAATGTTGTAGAAACAATTCCTGTCAAGATATGGGTTAAACTAAATAACTTATGATGTTTTTTACACGAGAGGACTTTAATGTATACATTGATGGTATCTCAAATACCCAGTCTCCTTCTTCCTCAGTCTTCTCAGCTCCTGTGAGGGTCATCTCAGCCAGACACAGAGATGGTCATACTTTTGAGCTCACCATCATCCACAGGTGTATTACTTCCACAATCAAGAATTCTAAAATTCCTTGTTCTAACCATAAGCTCTTCTCATCACTCCTCTTAAATCTATTTGTTATCCTCACCATGACCTCCAATATGTCCGTACTTCAGAACTCTCCCAGTATTCTCCAATTTTGGCTTTACTATCCTTCCTTTCCAATCCTGACCTTATAATTAACTATTCTATTCTCTCGATCTCTATTTTCAAATCCCTTTCCCCCTTGTCCTACTCCTACAGAGCCAAACCCTGACCAAATCTGGGATTATTCCTACCATCCTTTTCCACTCCAGATTGATTAGAGCAATTCAGTCATGCTCTCTGGGGTTTATATAAAACCATCAAGCTAGTTTGAAATCCAGGATTTGAGTGTTTGGCCACAAAGAAAAGAGAGAGCTATTCTAAGGAAGCCCACTTGAGGCTCAGAGGAGATGAAGGAGAACAGCCTCAGCCTTGACCTCAGGCCTTGATCCCCACCACACCCTGCTGGTCTTGGACAGAAGAAGAGCTTGTGGATTTCAGAAGGCTGGAGAATTGTGGACTTCTCTTTGGAATCTTAGTCCTAGCAGCATCCCAGAATGGGATAGGGTGCCTACATTGGGAGCTAAGGATAAACTAGATGCCCTGAAAAAATGTAGCTTCAAGATTCTGTAAGGAGCACAGCAACAAAGCTTCAGAAACTTCATAAGCACCCCACAAGAAGAGAAAAGTACCTCCAACAAACAAGAGCTGTGAGTTACCTCTTTGCCACATGCGTTCTCTAAGAGTGAGCCCACTTTCTCCTGGACTCTGTATATACTTATGGGGAAATGTCACAGACTTTTGGGGAATGTTTTATACCAATTGTTCTTACTATATCACCTTAGTAAATATTCCTTTCTAAAAATTAAGTTTAGCTGACTAACTGATATCAATAGGGCAAGCACACCAGTAGGTGCTTGTAGCCTATAGTACTAGAAGACTACTTCCGAATCACTTAGGTTACCTTAAAACCCTTATAGAAGAAATAATTACTTTTGCTCTGGGAACTTAGCCTCTCAGTGTGGGTTGAGAGAATGAACCACAGAGGTCGTGCTACACTTGTTAAATTGTTGAATGAGTGCCCACTCACCAAAGATCACTTGGCTTTTTGAGGGTTAATTACTTAAATGATTCTTTTCTCTACGAGGAAAGACAAAAAGTCTTATATCTTTTGTCCTTTCTTAAATGTAAATACTGCCCAACTTCCCCTAAATTGCAGTAGAATAGAGAAATGTTCATTTTCCAGATCTAGAAACCCTTTCTAAATTTTTATTTATTTTGAAAGCCTCGTGTTCATCAATCTGGATAACTAGTCTCTTTGAAGTCCTCTCTTTCAAAAAGATTTATTCTCTTTTGCACTAAGAATTCTCTATTTTTCACATTTCAATGTGATTACTAACATTTCACAAGAGGAAATGTTATATGATGTTTCTAAAACATGGGAATAATTCTCCCTCAAAATAAATAATTCTGCACTTTATTATATGCCTAATTGAAGACTTTATAAACATATGTATTTTTTACTTACTCATAATTCTGTATAAACATTATTAACTATTTCATTTTTCACCCAAAATGAACTTAGAATCAGAACCCTTAACGAAAAAAGATAAACCAGAAGTTTCATTGTCAGAAAGACTGGCCTTTCTTTATGAAGATACTAAGGAAAATGTAAACGGGTTGCAAAAAAGTGTAGAAGATACTGAGAATGATCCATGTATTGAATTTGGTGCTTCTGATCTAAGTTATTTGCTATATGAAGATGAAAAGGATTTCAAGGTAAAGTTTCATAACACTATGGTTTAATTTAAAACAACATTTTGTTGGTGGGTAAACTACTATAAGAAAAGGGATAGAGATAAATCTTTGATTTTACTTGTCTTAAGAAACTCCTACCAATACAGGTCAGCACCCTCTCTACAATTTGCAACTGTAGAAACTGTTCAGAAGTTAATTACTTGCCCAAGGTCATATAGCCAGGATATGCCAAAGTCGGGACTAGAACCCAGGACTGCCTGGTTTCAAGACTGGCTTGCTATCTGTTACGTTTTTTGAGAAACACTTCTTAGAAGATAAGGTTACAGAATTTGCACATATAAAGTGAAATTGACCCACCATTTACACACAGTACTCTGGAGAATTAGAACCTCTTTCTTATACATGCATTGTTTGCTCAATTTGTTAGATTCTATTCAACAAATGTTTTTTTTAAAGCACCTACTGTGTGGAAGCTCCTGTGACAGGAACCGCTGATAGAGAAGAATGAATACACAAATACTTGTGATGCAAGAAAAAGAGAGAGAGATGATGATGGTGACAAAGGAGAATTCTGGGCAAAATGCTAAGGAAATGTTGAGATAGCTTTCACATCTAGGGAAGACTTCATGAAGGAAGTGATATCTCTCTCAGTCCTTGAAGGAAGGAAAAAATTTAGATAGGTGAAATTGGAGAGGAAATCTTTCCTCCGCCTGGTGGGTGCAGAACAAAGTCACAGAAACAGGAGAGTCAGTCACTAAACAAATGTTTATTAAGAACGTAACTTGTGCCAGGCACTGTGCTAAGTGATAGGAAAGAAAGGAATAGAGGATTGAAAGTAGAAATGGGGGACTAAGTCATCCAGATTGGCTGGAATATAGGACATCTGAAGGGGAGTACTATGAAATTTTTAGACCATTAATAGTATGGCACAAGCTGAGTACTTCTCACTGTAGAATCCTGCAACAACATCTATACTATGTCCCACAATTCTTCTCCCTCTTGACATCAAAGCTGATCACCAAGCTGGAGTGAGAGACAGTGCTGTGTTACAGGGCAGTAAATAGGAGAGGCCTGTTGGTCATTTTACCAACAAAGACAGTTGCTCAAAGTCCTTGGCCTCTAGCTTCCACTACATCCCAACTCCCTTAGTGGCCTAACTCCTAAGTAAAGGGAAAGTGGCGTAAAATCAGTTGCATAAATTCTATGTCTGTCAATAATGTATTTGGATCAGCATAACATACAGGCTTCCCTTACTCAGGGATAATTGGGTTTGGGTGTTTTAGATGCTTCAGGGTATCTCATCTTTCACTTGCCTACTGTCTCACCATTAGAAATGTTTTGTAAATATCAAACTCTCCATTATCCACATGAATAGAGGTAGGAATCATGGTGTAAACCATCCAAAATTGTTAGTAATAAAAAAAAAAACCCTCATGTATTTGCCTTTGGAATTCACTGTGATAACCATGACACACTCTCTTCTCAGTAGATTCCTCCCGAAGTATTTAATGTTGGAAGCAACATCCCTGATCACGGACTCGGAAGTCCTGTGTTTAAGCCCCAGCTCTGACTTTATTTGTCATGTGAGTTTGGGAAAGTTAGACAAACTCTTGTGAGACTCCGTTTCTTCATCTGTAATGTGGGGGCAATAATGCTTACACTGTCTACCTAAGAGAATTGTTGCGAAGAAATTATTTGGTAAACCTTAAAGTATTACATAATAATAAACCCAGGTTATAGCATTTCTCTGTGCACTGACAGACTTCTGGTATAGGAAATGGACCTAGCAAGTTGTTGGGCATAATTACTCCCCCTTAACAAAACACCACTAGGTACTTAAGAGATGGCCATACTTGCAAATAAAAGGTAGCAGATTCCTGTAATTCCAGACCATCTCTATATATGAACAGGACACAACTCTAAGAATATTATTATACAAAAATTACATTAAGACTATCTACACATATATCCTAACAATCTTGACATTGAAAATTTTTACATGTCCAAAGCAGGAATTTGTTTTGTTTGACCATAAACATTTGTAATAGGTTTTGTTTTTCTTGCTTTCTCAATGGGGAGACAGGGGGAGGGAAGGGCAAGGCAGGTGGAAGAGATAGAATTCAGATCTCAAAAAATAAAATTGAATTTAAAATAACAAAGTTATACGCCACATGAAGGATATATGATTTGGAGCCATATGGAATTAGGGAGTTACTGGAGGAACATTTTTATCCAACAGAATAGACACCACACAACACTCCAGATAAAGGCCAGCTCTATTCCAAAGAAACTTCATCCCCTAGTCCATCTTATGTTAGCCCATCAGTTGAATAAACAACCCTTTGTCTTTCCTTCTCTCTCATGTCACCACAGGAATATACCAATCTGGGCCCACTGGAGGTAAAGCTCATGGCTCTAGAAGGAATGAAAAAACCTATTCATGAAGGAATGAAAGAAATGACCAAGAAAGAGTGGGAAGATGCTGGGAAAACAGAGAATTTCATCACGTATAAGATAATCCGTTCTTTGAAAAATTAGAGACTGGCGGGTGAAATAAAACATTTTTCCATTGTTAAGGTCATGTGTTGTATAAGTTCACTGTTCATTGAAGCTTTGACCTACTTTTAAGCCAATTTTTAAAAATATTACTTAAGTTTTTTTTTAAAGATTGTAATTACACTTAAAATAAAAGTTTCAGCTATTCAATTATTCATTTCCTGGTGTGTGAATGGCACAAGTGAAAGAATATTTTCTTAATACCATACTAAAATTACATTTTAAATATCAAATGAGATAATATTTGTGAAGTGCTTAGTACAGTGCCTGGCATATAGTAAACAGTATATAAATGCTTATTCTCTCCCCCTCCCCCCACTGTCCCTACTTTACCATGTAGAGTTGTGCTGTATCGATCCAAATATGGGCCATACCCTTAAAATAAAATCTCTTTGAAAGGAAAATATAGAGAGATAGACATCACAAAGTAGCATGTTATAAGATTCCATTGATGTTTGGTGGAAACCAGATGTTGGGGGAAAGAGCAGCATATATTTGGACAATTATATATTGTCTTATATTTTCAGAATGCCTTATATTCTACCAGCTTTTGTATTTGTTACTTCATTTGATCCCTTTTTTCCCTTAACAAAACACCACTAGATAATTAAGAGATGGCCATACATGCAAACAAAGGGTAGCAGAATCCTGTAATGTATTATTAGCATGTATTGTATTATTAATATCTAATATATCAGGATCATTTGATCCTAAGAAAACATCTGCCTATGTGGTAGGTAGGATGGTTATTAACCCCAGTTTACAGATAAAGAATTGGGGCTTACAGAGGTTGTGACTTGTCCAAGATAACACAGTTCATAATTGTAACAGAGGCAAAACTAAAACCCAGGTCTCTTGACACCAGATACAGTGATGGTGTTTCTTACACTGTCATGCTGCCTTAGTACAGAAGAAGATAACAGATTTATCCATTTCAAGCTGTAAAGAGAACTTAGAGGTTATCTAGTCTAACTTGGCCCCATTATACATAATCACTAAGATACAGAGAAGTAAAATAATTTGCTTCAGTTCCTAGGTAGAAAATGGAAAAATTGGGCTATTGTAAACGGGAAATGTTGCGTAGTCAGAAAATAATAAGAATTCCTTAAGCATCTTTCTTTATAAGAAGGTTGAACTGTTGATGCTGGCATCAAAGTAGAGGCATACTCATGTGTCAGTCAACAAGCATTTATCAGGCACTTAGTATGCCATGAACTTTGCTAAACACTGAGAATACAAAGAAAGGCAAAATCATGATCCCTGACCTCAAGGAGCTGACATTCTAGTCGGGGAGACAGCAACCAAATAACTACGTACAATAGATGACGTAGACCATTTAAAGAAAGTAATCTCAGAGGGAAGGCGCTGGAAAAGTCTCCTTCAGAAAATAAAGCTAATCCTTGACAAAGGCCTTCAGTTAATGGCATTACAAAATGGATAAATTAGACAGCAATTGGTTTAACAAAAGAATTTGGTAGAGAATTCCTTTAAATAGTGAAGCTCACTAAATTTCTTAAGATATAATTTAATGTGCAAAAATTTGGTTTTTGTATAATTTTTCAGGACACATCTGTGGCATAAGACAAAATACAATTGTATTGTATTGAGAAATGGGTGAGTTTGTAAAATATTCTTGGTATATTTAGCATTTTCCTGCATACTTCCCATTTTGTGGGCCTCAGAAAATACAGATAAAGTTAGTGTTAGAAATCATTAACTAGGATTTGGAGGAGACACAGAGTTCAAATCACATCCTCCAACGACCCTTCCTGCATTGGATCCCTTTGTATCCCTGCTGAGACTTTAGGAAAATTCCTATTTTTGAGGTTTGGTGAGGCTGTGGGACTCTCTAGAATAATGGATCCTCATCTGAAACAGCACATCTGTAAAGGAAAATCCCACTACTGTTGAGGCCTAAAAGGTACTAGTTGATGTTATTTTATGAAAGGCTATTGTTAATATTCTTTTGGGTTTCATTATTCTGAATGATTAATATTGTTAATTAATCATTAATGTGTTAATTAATTAGCAATTAATTAACTATTATTATTAATGGAATAATATCATTAATATTCTGTTTGATCTCATTATTCTTATTATACCGATTCTTTTTTTTTTTAAGATTCTCTGTCTTTTCTCAGCAGGGATTTTTTTCTTCATCATAAGGCACGTTTGTTAGTGTTTTTTCTCAGGTGTCAGTGCTCTCAAATAATCATACTAATTATCTTTAAAATACAACTGTGACCTATGCGCTAATGAGCACAAACGGGCTTAGGTATGTAGGAAGATTAGTCATTTTGTTGTTGGCAGAAATGCAAAACAAAGGAACTAGGGTGGAGGTCAGCAGCTGCATCTGCCCTTTCCAGCCTTCTCCAACTTCATCTGCTAGAAGCATTGGGAAGTTGTCACCAGCTCCCTATAGCTCCTTTGGAATTTTGCTAAGAGGAACCCCTGGATCATTTTGACATCGAATTCAATCAACAAGCACTTACTAAGTGTTTACTATGTGCCAAGTACTGGTAATTTCTGGTAATACATATACAAGCAGAAAAAGAGACAGCCCTTGCCCTCTAGGAGCTTACATTTTAACAAGGGATGAAGCATGTAAACGAATTGTGAAAAGCTGGTGGGGGGGGGGTGGAGAAGACATGAAGTTATACCACTCAGGAACATGGTAGAGAAAGTCCAGAGAGTGAGAAGTGTAGCCTATAAATGAATAAAGATATGGCTGGGGGGAAAAATATGACTGATTTAGGTATCCTCCTTAAAATGGAGGGTTGAGAAGGAATCAACCAATCAGAAGGAGAGGCCATAGGGTCAGAGAATATATATATATATATTTTTTGGTGAGACAGTTGGGGTTAAATGACTGGCCTAAGGTCACACCTCTAGTGAGTGTTATGTATCTGAGGTCGGATTTGAACTCAGGTCCTCCTGACTCCAGGGCTGGTGCTCTATCCACTGTGCCACCTAGCTACTCCCAGAGAACACTTCTAAAGTGAGAAATACAGGGATGAAGAGATTTCTGTGGCATGGTAGAGAAAGTCCAGAGCAGTGGTGAGGAACCTGTGGCCTCGAGGCCATATGTGGCTCTCTAGGTCCTCAAGTGCAGCCCTTTGACTGAATCCAAACTTCATAGAACAAATTGGGGATTTCTGTGAAGTTTGGATTCAGACAAAAGGCCACAGGTTTCCCACCCCTGGTCCAAAGTGTGCAGCCTAGAGATGAATGAAGGGACACTGGGCATGAGAGAGGTTGAAAGGAATTTTCTAACCCTAAAACAGAAAGAAGATTAGGATCAGGGAGTCTGAGCTCAGCAAGAGAAAAAGCAGTTCAAAGGACTGACTTTAAAATGGATGAAGTCTTCTCTAATGAAGTGACTGGTTGCAGTTGGCTGAGAGATTATATCAAGTTAGAGCCAACTCACCTTTCCTGGGGCCACACAGCTAGTAAATGGCAGCAGAGAACAGCAGCAGAGATACTTAGCAGGGACAAATAGCTTAGCTAATGATATCACAGATTCTGCAAGGTGGGAGGTATGAGTTACCTTAGATTACATGTGTGTTACCTGGCCAGATATTTCTGCTTCCTCCTTCCTTCCATCCATCCCTACCATGGATGTTCTGTGCATATAGACTGCACCCCACTGATGCTGTAGTAACCTTTAAGAGAATTTCCTAGAGGAACTATTGGTTACTTAATTTGCTGTGCTGTATAATTAAATGTCACTTACATTAAACTAACAGTTCCTCTGAGTGATGGATTAAAAAGAATTTGGTAGGAATTTGTCAACTATGGCTTGCAATGAATGACAGCCCATCTCCCGGGGCCATCTCCAGTCACTCTGATCTATATCTGGTCACTGGACCCAGATGGCTCAGGAGGAGAAAGTGAGGCTGGTGACTTTGCATAGCCCTTCCTCACTCAAATCCAATTCACTTGCAAGTCATGGCATCATCTTCCTGATGTCATGCTCCCCTCCGAGAATGAAAGACAAACCACAAGAAACCCATCTCTATAACATACCTCAATAAACTGGGAAGGCATTTGGGATGGGGAGAGGGGTGGAGATATATGAGGGAGATCTCAAGTACTATAAGTACAGAATAAAACCAAACTATTGGGGGGTAAATAGACATTTTAATAAAAATTAATAGATTAATCCCTAGGTTTTCTAATTACTGTTGATGATTATACTTAAGTACTTTGGTGTGGGTCCCAGCACCACCAATACAGGGAAGAGTTAGCAGTTGAGTATATAGAGCGCTGTACCTGAAGTCATCAAGACCCAAGTTCAACTCCAGCCTCAGACACATACTTGCCTATGTGGTTCCAGGCAAGTCACTTAATCTCTGCCTGCCTCAGTATTCTCATCAGTAAAATGGGGATATTAGCACCCAACTTCCAAGATTGTTGTGCAAATAAAAAATGCTTATAAAGCACTTTGAAAATCTTGAAATTCTATTATTATTATTTTTCAATCCATCTATAACTTCATCAATGTTATAGAGAACTGCTGTGACCAAAAAATTCATTACTCTACAGCCACCCTGGTGATGAGGCTCTCAAAAGTGAGGCTGTGGTCCTCAAACCACAGGCTGTAGTCTGTCTCCAGGCATACCTTTCCACCATTGTACAACTTGCCAGAATTTGCAAACCACTGACGACCCAGGACCACCACCATTGCCACAACAAGGCACCAGAGCAGGATGTTAACAGAAGATGCCATAAAAGATAACAATTCAATTCAATTCAGCGAAGGTTCATCAGGTGCCCACTCTGTGAAACATGTTGTTTCATCTGCTCGGATTACAAATCAATAGGATAGCTGACACCATGTTTGTAGACTCACACAGTCTAGTGGGGGAGATAAGCCAGGTACACAAATAACTAGATTACAAATAAGAATACAAGTATAAAGGAGAAGGAAGTCCAGAAATATTGTATGGGAAATTGGAGAAAGGAAAGATTACTTCAGGTTCAGGTGACTGGTGGCTCTGGCGTATGGAGCTGGAGATATTCCATCTATCAGAGAGAAAATTGGAAATTGGGAAGGAGATGTGCATT